CGTCGGCTGCGCGCCCGACGAGATGGGGATAGGACCTACTCTTGCTGTGCCTGCACTGCTTGAGTTCACGGGCGTGAGGAAAGGGGAGGTGCATGTGTGGGAGCTCAACGAGGCGTTTGCGGCGCAGGCGGTTTATTGCGTCAGGAAGCTGGGTTTGGAGAGGGAGAGGGTGAATCCGCGGGGTGGTGCCATCGCGTTGGGGCATCCGTTGGGCGCGACGGGTGTGCGGCTTGTTGCCAGTTTGTTGGGGGAACTGGGGAGGCATGGGGAGGAGGTCGGGGTTGCGAGTTTGTGTATTGGGACGGTGAGTGGGATTTCTTTTCTTTTTCTCTTTACTTTTGTTTCAGGTGTGGTTTGTGTGGTTTGTGCTGACTTTACCATAGGGTATGGGGATGGCGAGCTTGATTATCAGGGAATAGGGTCCGATCTCGAGGTTTTACAGAGGAAGAAGACATTGTAAGATTCATACAATGGGGCGTGCAAATGATGGTTTAGAGCAAATCTTTGCATGGGATTTTCCAAACTGTCTCCCTTGCAGCGTACAGGTTCACGACGTGTACTTCTAGAACTAAATTCTGAAAAAGGAAAGAGCGTACAGTAACCCTAAGGTCTCAACCGGAGAGACGATGATGTACGGTCTTAGTTCGTGTATGTATGGATTTAGATCTATGAGTCATTTATAAAGATGATGCGAATGGTGCTGCAGCGCAATTTGGCTTTGAATCTGTCCGCATGCGGATTTTCCACGCGGTGAATAAGTACCTGAAATATTTATTTTGGATGAAATTCGAGCACAATAGGACGTTATCGCTAACTCGAGAGAGAAACGCTAGGGATTAGGTCAATACATGTTTAATTATGTCTGTGTTCTACCGATGTACCGTTCACGTAAGGAAGGGTGCAATGGGTCTATAGATGAAATTCCCTAACAGGCTCGTATCCATTGGCACCAAAGTTTGCTGTACAGTACATGCGTTTTAAGTATTACGCTATGATTCGGAAAGATTACATAGAAAGTTAACTAGTTAATCGCAGGGTCTGATCAATGGTATATGTTGTGAAATCAGACGTCCGAGAAGTAGTCGTACAATTATAGTGACATTGAACGAGGGTTTGCCACAAACTGTGGACGAAATTCAATCTCTCCAAAAAAAAAAACCCCTCATACAAGTAGTGTTGAATATCACACATTGATCCAAACCCACCGAACTGGAATTATTTGATCGCCGCCGTCATAAGTGGACTTTTAAACCGCGTAAAACTGAAATGCTTTTGCAATGACTTATAACCACAATGTGAAAAGGAAAAAAATAATAAGAATAACAGTGAAGCAGCAGTTTAAATTTGTTCCTCATGTAGAAGTCCGAACTTAATCTTCAAGGGGAGGTTCAGAGTGAACCAAGATTTCTGGAATTCCTAACTTCTCCAAGTCTTCCCTTATTCTTTCCTCATGATCCAGAATATCCAAAGGCGGGTATTCGCCAACAAATGCTCCACGGACAATAACCTCAACTCTACGTAGCTTTGGGAGTCCATTCAGTTAGAGCCTTGCCTAATAGCTCGAAAAACTTTTCTGCGTCCGCATAACGAACGAGTTAACGCTCTTTAACCGTCAAGGATTCAAGGAAATGCGGTATATCCAATAGCGCGTCCCGGCGATAAATGGAAAGGAAACCCTTGACAATTGTATCTCCGTCCAAATCCAAGGATTTGAGATTACGTAGGGAATAAAGGAAACCAAAATAATCGTCCTGCCAGCTCGTAATGTTAGAGTCCACTATGTATACAAGCCGTTCAAGTGAAGTGTGAGACATGATTACAGACTTGAGTTTTCTTAGGTCAGCTTCTCCAGGTATTGTAGAGACATATATACCGTCGAGAATCAATGCGTTGAGGCCGGAACATTTTGCGATCACTCTTGAAAGATTTCTGCTTCCAACCCGGAAGTTGCGAAGCTCGATGGTATGGAGAATATGAGTTGGTGATGATGTGAAGTGTATGCCCAGGAATACATCAACATCTCTTACGTTTGATACGCAATGCAAATGCGTAAGACTAGAGAAGACTGGTAATAATCTCCCCTGGGCATAGTAGTAACCTGCATTCAATTCTATACCCAACTTCAGCTGTCGTATTTTCTCGAAGGAGTAGTTACACGTCCAGGGCAGTTGCATGGGCGCCGCAAGGACATTATCTGTGTGCTGTAATCCCTCTGTCGTCTCAAGTAAGCAGATGTTGGCGATGTCTAGGTTCTTCAGTCGAGTTAGCAGAAGTGCGACCAAAGCGTCAAACTGAAATTTTTAGAGCCTTTCAATCCACAAATCTTTGTCCTTCATCACTATCTTCCTCGCTTCCCGAGAAAACGAGATTTTGTCAAAAGCCGATTGATAATCTTTAGAAACACATGTCTGAGAGAGATATAGGAGTCATAGAACCTGAAACTCTTAACGGGCCGTATTCAGGGCGTTTTTTTGATGGTTCGAAGTAAATAAACCATCTTATCCTTGAGTTTAGGTGTCCTGCCGATAGCAATGTCTTGATACAGAGGGCGGGTTGCCAAATCTTTAAACCTCGGTGATACAAGACATAAGTTATACAAATCTTGGTTCCCAGCGCCATAGTCTGCGTCATCCTCACTGAGGTCTGGGCAAACCTTCCGGAAGTGGTCGAATATTTCTAAGAGGAGCTCGTTTGACAGTCGATTTATATGGTCGACCGGTTGATGCGCTTGGGTAGCTGGATTTCTTAATGCATTGGTTATGGCCCGGGATGTCGGCACAGGCATAGCGTTGTCGGAGGAGAGAGCGGCGTGCAAGTTAAGTTAGACAATAAATGCTACATTCGAAGAGTGAATGGCTGAGTAGATGCGGTTCAAGATGAACAGACAGAATGCTGATGCACCTTCCTTCAGTGCTAGCCTTGTAGCTTCAGGGTCTACGCGACTTGCTCCGTGCAGTATTGCGAATGCACGTAATTTGCAGCCTATTCGCAGCAATATGCCTTCATGGTTCATTAATCTTACGTATATCAAGTTTCCAACAGCCATAAGTATAAGAGGACTCAAAGGTTCTCCATATTCAGTACCGGGATAGGATTCAGGGGAGTGACAAGTGCAACGAAGTAGGACATAGATTCGAGAAACCCAAAAGCCCGTGACACCGATCCTAACAGCGAAAGTACATATAATATGTATTTGCGTAGTGATTATCAGGTAATCAAAGCTAACTATTGGTAATCCATGACCTGATCTCTTTGTGTCCAATCATTAATGATCCATACTTTACACTTCTTGTCAGGTGTACCTCGTGATCTTTCTACATTTCGCCCATAGTATGATAGCACACCTCTGGAGCTGGCTCAAGCCTACCTAATTCCGCAAAATGTTGACTGGATAACTGATCCCTAAGATGACATCGATATTCTGTGGAGCTTTAGAGGGATACAGGAGCGGTTACTGAAGGTTTTTCTTCTTGAAGATTAGCATAAAAGGAGACAGCGTCCCGTTGATTCCACAGGCCTTACGATGGAGAAAGCGCAATATTTATCACGCTCAGTCTTTGTCTAGATGCCGACGGTGCTCGAAATTAGACCGTGTTTGATTTTGTAGATGGTGATAATTCCATGAAACTAGATAGTCTATACGATATGCCGTAGATATTGCAGATACATACCTTATCTGCATAGTCCAGGAGCATTCTGTTGGCTCCCACGCTATTTTCCTGCTCCGGCTTCCGCTTCCACTCCCGCTTCTACTTCCGCCGACCCTCCTTCTGCTGCGACACCACCAGCACTGCCGTATTTCCGAACCAACTAACCCAATCAGGCAGGTTGCGTCGAAACGGCGAACGTCTTGCCAAGCTTGAAGCTGGAGAATGTATCGCGAGATCGAGTGTCGATGGACTGGACAAAAGACGAATTCTAGTATATAAGTCCAACAACAGCATCAACTGATGATCTGGAGGTGTCAAACAGATGCACGGAATTATTAGATTCGATCTCTAACCGATTTTAATCAATTGCAAGTTGCACCGTTTTATATTTCGGATTTTTCGCTATTGAGGCCGGTCTTGGATGGAGTTGGTGATAGATGTCGTTCGTCGATGCGTTTCTCGGTGAGCTGCAGCGGTGTTCGGGTTCAAACTTTTTTCCCTTTTTCTTTTTCCCTCATATTGCTTTCGTTTGAGCGTGGTTTATTTTCACTGCTCTCCAACCGCTGATAGAGATCTCATGCGTAGACAACGATATTCGCTCTGCGCAATCCTACATTTTGTCGCGATTCCATAGACGACCTTATTCCACGGGCGAGGGAGTGCAAGTAATACTACCATAACTTGTACGCAAAAGCATAGTTCACTTGTGTTATCTTTAAGACTCGCTAGGATTATACCGTCCTCGCTCTTTTCTCAGATGAGATATAGCAGAACTGATATATGGTAAACAATCCGACTTAATTCAAAGAAAATACCCGCATGAGATGGGTGTGGGATAGCAACTAAGTTATACGGTCTCTTACTGAACCAAACTGAAACAAACAGTCAATCTCCCTCGGATGTAAATGGTTGCTTTGACAACACTGACCAAAATAAAGCATAACCACCACAGTGATGGTAAATAGGACAGTGTCCTTCTTAGAGATTCAATGAATTTATGATACTTTACAGTTGGCTTTTCGATCATCACTCAGAATTTCCTGGGTCGACATATGGGCTCAGTCCTTGCGGACCGTCCATCCGGGACAACGCACTGAGGGATCTGAGTCGTGATGCTCATAGAACGGTTTTCAAAGTCGCAATACTCAGCATGAGTGAGCATCAACTGATATAAAGAGAATCTGTAGAATAATAAAAAATACTCGTGTTCAGGATGAAGTGAAGTGAGATCAGACGAAAAGCAAGCCGGGCCGGATGAACTATCTTCCCGGCTGCATCATCCTAGATACCATTCCTAGCCTAGAAAATTTTTTATTATGAGTTTAATAACTTGCATCATTTTGTCAAACTGGGCGCTTGGTCTAGGGGTATGATTTTCGCTTCGCATGATTCAATCGGCATCTGTGAAAGGTCGTGGGTTCAATTCCCACAGCGTCCATCACTTTTGCTTGTTCGATCTCCGGTTCTTCGTTTTTGCTGGACTTTTCTTTTGCGATGGGGTTGCGTTGTGTCAGGGGATTGACTATCGGACCAACAGACGGACTCGGAGAGCAGCGAGGCCTTAAGACAACTTTTGGATGACGTTGAAACCAAAGTGATTGCAATGTACTATACAGGTGGTTATGAGTATATGACTGGAAACAAATATGCGTCGAATCTTGTATGGTTCCGAACAAATCTCACTATCAAACAGTTGATGCATCGAACCTTTGTATAGAATTATATGAAGGGAATGGCTATCACAGATGGTTCAGGAACCCTTCATATCACGAAATACTGGGTTAAAAGATAGATGGATAACCATATCATTGATCTAAGATAAAGCAGGTATATCCCCTATACTGATATCTCAACCAAAGCAATCCTCCCATTTCAGGGACTGTATATATATATATCCCCCTTTACACTGCGGTTGTCATCCGCAGCATACCGTTCGGTAGTTTCCTTCTCTTCCCTATTTCATAGTCTTACTCGTCTTCTCCTCCGAATACTTCTCGAGAGGATGTGTCGGGTTGCTCGCCAAAGCACTCTTCTGCTCTTCTGAGGTCTGCTTTGCGCCCGATTCGGGAGCGCCGCCTTGGTCGTTAGGCAGGGCTTGAGGGTCCTGCTGTTGCTTGCCGGACTGCGCCTCGGGGGGTGGGGATTGACGGCCCTGGTTTTCTGACATTTTGATGTTTTGCGTTTGGGTTTAAGTTGCTAGTGATATAGAGTTAGGGATCAATACTTCAGACGGAAAGGGTAGCTATACCTTGAATTGGTTGGAGAGTATAGGAAGTTTGGTTTCTTGGGTAGATATTAGTAAGGGTTACGAAGAATGATTATATTACACTCCTCTGCTAACCTTTTGTTTGATGAGGTTCAAAGTAATTATCTGAATGTTTTGGGTCTGATGATGAGAAAAAAGACGAGAAAGACGCTGCCCCGCGATGCCCTTTTACCTTTCCCAACGTTGCCCCTCGTTCACCTCTACGTCATAAGATGGCCCCACCATAATCTCGAGGTCCCTGTGTATAGACCTCATCTTGCATGCTGACATCGGGCTTCAACTGCTTATTCCTTATTCTAGGTTAAGTGAGTGGATTGCGGGAGATGGGCATCTCCGATGCACGTCAGTACCGATATGGGGTGCGGCAGTGGTTCTTAATCTACCCTATTGTCCCCTGCTTCTTTATGTCCGTACGGAGAGATATGAAAGGAATTGCGTTCACCATATCTTCAGGACTTAGAACAAAGTGGTCTTCGAAAATCAAGGAAACAGCTTGTTGAAGTAGAAGGAAGGGGGAATATTAGATGGATGGTTAAGAAAGGGGAATTCGTGGCTTTAACTACCTTGTGTCTGGAGTATGATTCGAAAAAATACTTATATCTAGGGTTAGTCTCCGTCTTATACTAAGAATAAGTTACTCTAGACCATTGGACGAGGCTCCGGAGGTAGTAGGTCTACCAGGATACGATTCAGACCTCCTATTGTAATGCTCAGAATTTTGTACGCTATCTTATCAATGCCAATCTTCCTCAGCGCCATAAAACAAAATGCACATCCAGGCAAAAAACCGACGGAAAACCATCTCAACGTGTAGGTATGTTGGGTATCATGCTCGCCCTGATAATCACGCCCGCATTTGCAAGGTAACCCAGTTCGAAGACCAAACATCAAAACACCGACCATCAACATCCAAAAAGGTTTCATAATGCTAGTCCGTTGTTTACCAATTCTTGGGACCGAACGTCTGACCAGGTGCCACTTCTTTGTAAGAGCACGCTTGCCAATCGCATCCCTGTAGTCGCCAAGTCAATATTGGTGTCCTTATATACCTGATTTGGTAAAAAAGTGATTAACTCACCTGCTTGTAAACCTCTGTACCCCACCATTTGAATCCTTTCATCCACCCGGGATATAGGATTCCAAAGAAAATAACAACAACTCCCACTGCGACTCCTGAGTCGAGTGCCGCGCTCAGTGTCATTGTATACTTCCTCCACCACGCAGGCTTTCGTTTGCGGAGAACCTCGTTGAATAACCAACAGACAACAAACCAGACTGAGAAATTCAAACCTGTGGCTGGAGGGATCCAACTCAAACTTCCAAACATTACTGGAAGGTTGACGTAACGAAGGACAGATTTTCTCTTGTTTCTCGCGATGTACCATAAAACGATGGGAGCAAGTGCTCCGATGAGGAACGCCCAAACTAGCGGACGATAAAGAGCACCGGGACCAAAGAACCTTTGAGGGCCTACGACACCCCATAGAATGCTCCCGTTAAAATGGACCCGGGCGATAGGGCAATTAAAACCATTGATAGCATCAGGGGTGCAGATACCCGGGATATTTGCAAGCATCCAATTGAGCACTCCAATTTGTGTCATGCTTGAAATAACTGTTGCGGAGAGTTGAAGGTAGAATAGGATTCGTGGTGGAATCTTCATGTAATGACCCAGCTTTAGGTCTGATGAGAACTTCAAACCTTGGGTAGAGGTGATCTAAAAGAATGAGTCAGGGAAGTTGTTGGTTATCGGGATGATACACTTACATATCCATATGTGACAAAGACCATATTTGCCACAGGACGCCCAGGAAATACAACGCCGCAAATGAGCTGACAGATCAAATAAAGACTGCTCTGCTGATTTGCAATAGCCATGACGATACCAATGGGAATGAAGAGAACGGTGCAAATTGATAGCGCTAAGAGAAGGCCATACCAAGGTAGATGTATCGGAAAGCTATACATATTAGCTGACAAACTAGCAGAGAGCGACCATAACCTACTATTCAACGACGAACATCCCGATGGCAGTCATGGCGACGCCGGTTAGCAAGTACCACGAAATTGGGACATCATCATAACGTCTCATTAGACGATTATGTACATCTTCCACGGCCATAAGATTGTCCAGTCCAGGTTCTGAGGCATTTGTGTTAGCTCTTCTGCGACTTACTGGGGTTGAAAAACGGTTCCCGCTCGAGACTGGCAAAGCTTCGTATGAAACTTTATCTGAATTACGGATCTCTTCCAGCGAATGTTTCCATTGACGCCAGATATCTCGCCCATGCCAACATGCTGTATGCGTCATGAGAGCAGCAAGAGCAGCGAATTGCAGAGCATAACTTAGGACGTATGTTATTGGTAAGAAGACTCTGCTGTATTTATGATAGGCTTCTTCGTCGAATAGGAAATCCTTCGTCAGTATCCTACTGACATCGTAAACGTTTCCAGTATTATCAAAGACAGCCGCAGAAAGAATCGGCATGTAGGCGGAATACAGAATATTCAAATAGTCTAGTGAGAGCAGATATTAGAGGCCAACTTGACGGTCATCTGAGAAGGAAGGTACACTTACACATAATGGGAGCGAGAAGCCACATAACAAAGACCAATCCGCCCATAATGTTCAGCGCCGCCCAGAAGGGAACGACGAGAGGAGAACCGGTGTACGTGATCTGGGACCAATCGAATGTCAGGGGGAACAAACCAAGCCCGGACGTCACGCCGAACTACATTTGATCGGATTAGTTATCCCTCCACCCGGAATATGTGAGGTACTTACAAGGTTTGCGATGACTACATTCTTCGGTGCAAACCAAGTGATGACGCTGAAGTAACTCAACGCTGGAAAGAGGAGCCCTGGTAAGAAGTAAAATCCGACGGAACCGAGAAACACCCATAAGAAGAACCTCGAACGCGAAATCCGCCAACCATCTGCGGGTTTGTTTTCCTGATTATGAAGTGTCGAAAACATTGCTGTCGATATGAGTGTGCCAGGCCAGATCATTCCGCTGGGTCTAACAAGAAAGCGTCGAGTAATGCCTGCCAAAGCATAGCCCAGGACTTGAGTTGATATCGTTAGTAGAACTTGATACGTTATCCCTAGTTGCTGATGGTAGAATTGCGTCTGCTCAACAATAACCTGTTATAATGGTTAGTTCTTGAATCCCTATTTAGCGTAATTGAAAAGAGGGCCTACGTCGGTTGCGAAAGCAAACCCAAAGGAAACATTGCTGCTAACATATACACAACAATGTTCCTTTTGATTCCACCTGCCCTGAGCAAGCCATAGACGCAGCCTACGTTTCCAGGGATTCGGTGCAAGCTTTCCGTATGATTCACTAAATCGCGGGGAAAGTAAACTTTGTTGTGACTCGTCCTGTGAGACACGACGGTGGTTACCCGAATCGACAGCAATATCGATTCGAGATTGGAGATTACCATTCACGAATATTTCGGCCGGGTCATCCTCACATTTCAAGGCTCCATCCCATAGTAGACCCAATGGATGTACTAGAAGCAGAGCTATAACAGGGGTAATGCTAACACTAGGGTATCTTAAGGAGAAGAATAAATTTGTTGAGGAGCCTAGAATAGCAAAGAGAAGGGATAAGATCCACATTCGAGGTGTGTTTATTGATAGTGAAGTATCATCAGCAGGAGCCACTGAAGCTCGAACTTGCGCATAAGGGGAGTTATCAGCGGGTTCTGTATGTATGCTTTTGTCATTTAGCTTTAGATCTTCAGCCGATTCGTCATCGTTATCCGTCGAACTTTCGGGGTTGCTACAACCGGAAGAACTTGGCCCTTCAGAGGAGATATGGTCCATACCTTCAATGGCGGTATCAACACCACCACCGGTAAAGCGAGGCTCAAGACCGGACTCCATATGGCCCTCGATGGAATCGAAGAGTGTGGCATCAAATATTGATTGGTAGGATGGGCCTTTTATTTTTCCAGGTTTTCTTCTCTGTAGTGTTGCTTCGCTATGTGCGGTCCTCGAATGCCCGTTTTCTAGCCGGGGGATTTGTGCATCTAGCGCAGGGTCACTTTGGCGCATGATTCCCTTTCCCTTTCTTTTGTCAGAACATTTAACAAATACAGCTTCAGCAAGAGAGTCACTATCGGATACCTCAGCACTTGAACTCAGATACTGAACAGGTAGGCCA